CCAGCCCATTCATGCAGAGGTAGTGACAGGCAAGGGATATACAGCCAGGTGGTGACCCCTGCCTTTCTGTGTGGCTTGTGACCTGCTGTATGGCATGGTCTAGTCCTGTCTGTGGGGCCTGCTTGGTGGGTGGACTCTGCCATTTAAGATAGCTCGATTGCCACCTAGGGAACTACCTAACATTTATCTGTGAGAGTTAGATTGTGCATACTGAATGTCTTATTAGGGTCATTATAATTTAGTTTCGACTTGATGGCACATAACGTAACAAAACAAACCATGACACCTTCATAATCAAGAAAAGCCTCCCTGCACCCTCTTTTTGGAAGACGGCATTGTCCTCAAGAGTCCAAATCACAGAATCTAACTTTTCATTCCTAGGGGTTATTTTCTGCATCTCTCTGGCCTCAGTGTTGCCAGAAAACTTCCTTTGTGCATCAGCTTCAGCTCTATGGTTGACTTGGCTGGAGTGGAGAGAGTGGGAAAGAAAGCAGAGTACTCCCAATCAGGACTAAATTGCTAAGTTATGTGCCCAAGGCAGTGCAGCCATTCTTATATATACATAATGAAGACACTTTCTTGTTAATAAGCAAATTGGACAAAATAGTCACGTATGCCTCGTGGCCAAACCCTGCTATTCAAATCTGAGAAGCAAAAGTTCTCTTTGAAATGCTTCGTATTGGTAACTTTTCTTTGTATTGGAAACTATACAGACTCGGTGATGAGAAATTGGCCGACCTGAAAGGAGATTGTAAAAATAGTTGTTCCGCTGTTACAGGAAAATGCACAGTAATGGCTGAAGAGATGTGGAAAATATTAAGGGGGAAATTGTAGCCATTTTTTTCATCACTATAGCACATCTTTGTGGGGGCGGTAATCTCATAATAATGTTTTGTTGTGCATTTGAGCCTTCTAATTCACCCCACCACTTCAGTAATTAGAACAGTAATGTTGCTGTCTTGCTGCCAAATGTATCTCCCCTCCCCCACCCCACTAATTGACATCCTTCTCATCTTGTTTGTCACCACTGCAAACATTTGGGGGCCACTACCTACATCTTATAATCTATTGCACTGGCCTTTACCCCATGGATACCAAAATCAGAGCAGAACTACTTAGAACTTTTTTTTTTACAGAATAATAGACAGATGCTGAAGTACTGCATACTGCCAGAACTGGACCCGGCATTTTTTTCCTACAAAAGAAAGACATTGGACCTTGAACTGACTGGGTGTTGTGAAACAGACAGCTCCAGGAGAACAACAGATGGGAGTTATGATAGCAATCTGATGCAATGGACTGGTTTCTGGTACACAGGTTGGCAGACAGTCATACCACTTAGCCTTGCCAACCACTGGCCTGGCTCCCTGGCATTCACATGTCTTGAGCAGGTATTTGCAAGGATGAGGCCTGTGCAAGTACAGTTACATGATGCTACCCAGAGCACCAGGTGATGCGAATTGCATATACCACTCTTCTCTGCCTCTACCCATAGAGGGCAAAATATCTGAAGGGCGAAGCCTCCTACATCCACAGGGCTCACACGTTTAGCTGCCATGGATTCTGTGGAAGCACAGGTGAGAAATCCTTGTGCTCAGCACCCACAGTATCCTTATGAGTGGGCAATGGAATAGGGCTCCAGAAAGGTACTCAAAATGCAGGCAAGTTGGTATGGGTGAAAGCAGCCCTTCAATTAACATAGAGGACAACCGGTTTAAGACTGTAAGGTTAAAATGTTCACTTTCAGAGGGGCTCAGAAATGTGCTGGCAACCAGGGTTGGTGGCATATTTTATCCACCAGCTCCAGATGAATTTATATGTGCCCTTTGTTGTTGCTGCTGTTGTGTGCTGTCAAGTAGTATAAATGAGCAGTGTCTAAAATGTCCTGTCCTCTTGAGGGAGTAGTCTCCTCTTTACCCACCCGCCCCATTCCAGAGAATAGAGGGCATTTTGGAGGACACAAAATGGTGGCCTAGTAGTCAACACAGCTGCTATTGGTGACACTTGCAAAGCTGAAAACAAAACAAAAACAAACAAACAAACAAACAAAAACACAAGGATTCCAGGGAGGAAGGGAGAAGAAAGTTTCGTAAATGAATGGTGAGTCCTACCTCTCTCCTTGAATTTCAGAAATCACTGAAACAGCTGCCTCAAAGGTTTCTTTCTACAAGCAAGGTGAACCTTAGGTGGACATTTGTGCACAGCAATAAGGGAAAACCTAGCTCATATTGTGAGCATAGCACTACTGGCTATGCAAGGCAATTAGAAGTGAATTATGCTTTTAAAAAAATAACATCATTTTTATTGGTCTACCAAGACCAATAAAGTAAGGTACTTGTAAAATGTTAGAAAACGGTGACTTTCAAACAGCATCTCAGGGCTCAGGCTCTGTGGAAATGTATCAGCCGTTTATCACAATCAGGACTGGTGGACAAACATCTCTGAAGGATAGCAGCTTGCTCACTGTTATTTATATATGGACATGTCAATGTCCTACCTTTATCAGCAAAAGTGAGATTAAAATGTGATCTGAGGTGTACTTTCAGTTCATTGTTAGGCAGAACATGCAAGAGAAGAAACAGTGAAATCTGTTTATATCCCTAAATAGTTCAGAATCCTTTGCAGTGTCTGAAGATCCTGTGTTAGACTGTGGGAAAGCTTCTTCAGGAGATAAACCTGTTGATGGGAAACAAACTTCCTGCAGGCAAAAAAATTATTTATTTATTTATTTATTTATTTATTGAGTGAGTGAGTGAGTGAGTGAGTGAGTGAGTGAGTGAGTGAGTGAGTGAGTGAGTGAGTGAGTGAGTTCATTCGCTCGTTCGCTTGTTCGTTTGTTCGTTTGTTCGTTCATTCGTTCATTAATGTATATGTCACCCACATTACCCAAAAGTCTCTGGGCGGCTTACAATGATTTAAATACAGTACATTACCACCACTAAGTATAGTTTTCCTTCAGTATTCCAAAGCACTCCTGTACAGTTTTATGATGATGAATCATCTACCAACATACTGCTGGATAACTCAGTCATTTAGGTATGGGAGTTTGATTCCCCACTTTGCCTCCTTGATGGGAGCTGGACTTGATGATCCATTCACAGGGTCCCTTTCAGCTCTGCAGTTCTCAGATTCTAAACACACACAAAAAAGCTTTCAAATGGCCCATTTCTCCAAAGTTCTGGAGTGACTGGTTGGAACACTGTAAGTGTTCTGAAACCCAGCTGCAGTTATTGCCACTGAACAATTTGAAACAATGGCTCATCATTTTGATGTAGTAGAATATGAAAAGTATCTTCCTAAACCATTGGGTTTCGCTGCTCAGGAAAAGCATAGCATGAACACAGAGCAGAGATGGCTGAATTTGACAGTTACAGGGCTATGCCTATAACTGATGAAGAAAATGTCACAGTGGATTGTCTTTAAAATATACCCTTTCTACAAGGATCTTGGAACCATGATGTAACGAATATTCTTCTTTTCCCTCCCTCCCTCCTTACTTCCTTTTTGCAACCTTTGAACAAAAATGATGTCTCAACCCATGGAGACATCCCATAAAAAAATTGATCGCTACTACAATACTTTTTTGCTGTTGCATGAGAACTAAGAAACCAAGGAATTTGTTTTTGTTTTTCTTATTGAGCAGCAGCACTGACCAAAAATAGAAAATAAAATAAAGAACAGCTACCAATGAAACAAAACTTGTACCATGAACAGCAACAGAAAGATGTTAGGCCAAGCAACTTAATTTTGCACAAAAACCCTGCATTCTGCACAAAATACAACTTTTAACAGAATGCAAGATTTTCATAGAAAATATTGGGATTTGTGCAAAATACATTATTTTGGGGAAAAATCAGTTCATGCATCTGCTTAGTTCTCCCCCCCCCTCCAAAAAAAGAGAGAAGAAGAACCAGAAGAACAGGGTAGGATTCTATCTTGCTTCTCCTTAGGTTTTCTTTTAAAAACCCACTACTTTAAAAAAGAAATTGTCAAACTAGTCCTCATTTGAAATGGAATCATCCCACTTCTACACCCACCCTCAGCCTACATCCATCCATTTTGACCCCTACAACAGATAAATCAAGGAACTGCACCAGAAAGATAGATAGTGGATTGGCACTCATTCAGCATTCCATCATTTTGCTCTGTGAAACATTGTTAATGGACCACTTCTGATTAATTGAACTAATGCTTGGGAGTGCAGAATTATGCCCTTCCCTCTCAGTTTGAAAATCTGTCCTACTCTCAAGCTTGTGCCAGGTGCCCCACAGTGACATCTGGAAACTGACCAGGTGATTCCAGAACATACGTGTTTGATTCTTCATGTGTTGGCAGTGTGTAAACAGCATGATTTCAGGTGCAAACCCTGGGCAGAGATATGACACAATTGGAACCACAAACTTAGTAACTTGCTTGGCACTCGGAATCTTTTTTGTTAACTTTTGTCTCCTTAGCACACATTTCTCTGGCCCAATGCTGCTGTCCTTCCCTCCCCACCTCACAATTCTTTTTTAAAGCAACGTGTAGAAAGGGAGGGTGATGAAAGCTAGTGAGAAGTTATTCCTTTCCTTTTATGAAATTTGGAAAAAAACTGACACATTGGTTGCACAGGGCAATGCTGTTCAACAGGGCAGTGCTGAGTTCCCAGCTGGCACTGAATCACAATGCAAGAGGAGCAGGGTAATAAAAATCTGATGTCCAGCTGATTTACAGGCTGCAGGCATGAATGCCCCTTCTTCCAGGAAAAGGGCTGAACAGATTAAATGGGTCTCAGTCAGGGAGACTTCAAGCACAGCGCTTCTTTCTTGTACAAGGGGAGTCCTTGTCAAGCTCTCCTCTCTGTGCCCTCCTCCTTCATTCACTTGCAAATCGCTGTGTGCTTTGTACAGCCAAAGTCCCCCCCCCACAACACACACACACAAACACATGGTAGCCACATTCTCTCCACACCTTCCTCCCTCCTTCCCCAAACCTCCGCACACTGAGCACTGACTGCACCCTCATCAGCAGCGGCAGCTCTTCATCAGTGAGCGACGTTGTCTTATTAATCAGGGGGCTCTGAATGGAAACCAATCAGATAGAAGGTACCTTTGGCTTCAGTTTCCTAGTTGCCTAAGTTAAAAGTGATGCAGAGAGAGAGAGAGAGAGAGAGAGAGGAATCTCTTCTGAGTACAGAGAAGAGACAGCACTGGAGCTAACTGTTCACAGGCAGAAGGGAGAACAGGAAAGCACTGGATCAGCTGCGGACAGCCCAGCATCAAGGAAAACAGCTGCCACTTTCTCCAGGGAAGAGGAAGGTGAGTGATTTTATTCTCATAAAAATATCTCACCTCCAGGAATGTTAGAAACTGGTCTTGGTGGCATTTATGTAGGCTTTGTTAGCAAAGAAACAGAGAGCTAATGAAATTGCAAGACATGGCAGAAAGTTGCACCTACCTGGAAGGTGTGTGCTTCAATGCCACCCCTCCCTTGGCCCCTGAAAGGGGAGGCATGGAGTCCATTTAACAATAAGTTTGCAAACAGGAAAATGATTGCTCATTCTTCCTTGTTGTGGAGTGGTTTCAGTACAACAGAGTGTTACCCCCACACACCGCTTCAGTTTAATTCGCACAGTTTACAGCTTGCATTCAATATTTCTATACAGAGAACATTTGCTCTCCTCTCCAGGGAACCAGCTTTAAATCTGTCCTTAATGCAACCGGTGTTGTTTTGATTTTTTTTTTTAAGGGATCTGAGTGGAACTCAAGAGGGGGAAAGGATTGGAATTATTCCTGTGCATGGGAGACAGATTCCTCTCAAGAGGCATGACAAGAAAATTGATAGTTTACATCTTATTCTGGAATGAAGGGAGATCGGCACTTGGCTGATTTTGGCTTGGGATATTTACCTGGTTAATTGGAGAGACCATAAAAGGCAGTGGAGGGGGGGATCTTTTATCAGTTTGAGCTGTGCTGCTAAACCGAAGTCATGCTTTCAAGCTCCACAGAGCTCTTCTGAAGATGCTTTTGCTCATATGTCCAGATGTGCATCATACAGGGCAAAGCCAGCAAATGGGATCGTAAGGATGCTGGAATGCTTACATACATTTCCCTATCAGCCCACAATCTTAGCTTTCATTATAGTGTGATTTCTGGGCTGGAAAACAATTGAAAAGAGGCAGGGAGTCCAGAAAAGCTCCTAGTCATAATAGATGCTGCTAAGAATCAGAGTCATCTGAATATGGCAATTAACTGACAAGTCTCCCGCTGCTGCGGCTTCTTTTCCTCTCCCCCTTTTCTTTTTCAATTACACATGCAAGAAACTACATAATGGCATCCTTCCAATTTCACAGAACATCCAGGTCTTGGACTACAAATGATGAATGTGAACTGTAAAGGAAATCAATAGCCACTGCAATTGTATGGGTAGTCTGTGTACTGTAGTCATCCATCCTCTGGCAGGCAGTTTTAAATAATGGCTCCACGGGGGGGGGGGGAATGGGCAGGAAGCTTGACTGGGGTAATATTAATGTACCTGGTAAAGTCTGAAGACAGGAAAACCAGAGTGGGTGGGGGCATGTTTGGTTGCTAGCAGAAGTTGAGGGTTGGAGTGAAACAAGATTCTGCCCCATAGACATTCATTGAGAATAGTATTTCCAGTTCTTGATCACAGAACTTGGTAGGAAGAGAGGGAGCATATTTTCAACTGGTAGACCTTTCTTTTCTTAAGCACAAGGGCTAACTATGATTTTCATTGCATTTGCTAAGTTTTTGCTGCCTAGCTAGGATACTAGACTTTGGAATGTATCCAAAACAGTTTGTGATGTTCATAAGCTTATTAAATGTCCATATAAATAGACACCTAGCACACTTTTTCCTTGGTCCACGGAAGTCTGCCACAACTGCATCTAGAACCATGTGTGTAAATCAGATGTTCATCTGAAGATACACATTTTATGCGCGCGCGCGCACACACACACACACACACACACACACACACAGAGATTTAGCAGGATGCAGATTTGAATGTGCTTCCTCAGGCAGATGGCAACTCAGATTTGAGATATGAGCAAATATTCCTCTGAATATAACACAAAACTTCCTCATCATGATGAGAACCTTCTTTATATGGATAGTTTCTTAGGCATGGGTAGCAGCCTCCTTCCTCTTTGAACTCATCTTCTCAGAATCAGGATGAATGGTGGGCACACTCTTTCTCTCTCATCAAGGAGGAATATTGTGAGGATTCCTTTTCAAGTGTGTAATTATGATTGTATATGGCATGGATACTAACTTGATTTAAAGATGGGACTGGGCTGGTTATTGCCAAGAAATACTGTCACATTTTATCAGTAAATATATGAAATACCATGCAGAGACATACATGCTTTTAGTCAGATCAGATTGTCGCAAAAGTGAAATCAAGTTCATCAAAGGTAGAAGAAGTCTTCTCTTCTAAAAAGGCAGAATATCTTAGCACAATGCAGCCATGGCATGCATGAAGACCATGTTGATTAGGGTTTTCCTGTTGCTTCTTTCCTCTCTTTCTCCTCTTGAATTATTTGAAGGAAAATGACTAAACTACACTTGCATAGACAAAACAAGAACAAAAGAGTGTGTATTGCTGTTTGATGTCTGCAACAGATGCTGGATTAGTCCAATTTAAGTAGACTAAAGGTGGTGAAATAAATAAAAAAGAGACCCAACATAATTCTCTTTTTGGTTCAGCCATATTTTCAAAGCAGAAAGTTTGTCTGTCTCTTGTCAGTGTTATTGATCATTATGAATAAGCAGTGATTTCAGGATAACAGCTGGATGTGGATTGATAATCCATTTCAACTTGACTTAGCTTCCAAAAAGGTTGTGTAACATGCCTACATCGTTATTCAAGGATGCGAGGAGGTAAATATACTGAAATGAATTAGACATGGTTTAAGAAAGGATAAAATCAGGGATAGAGATTTATGAGCGACACTAATCACTCAACCATCTAGAAACATGCTGCTTGCAGGTACTCTCTGGGCTCATTTTTTTCAAGACTGATCATTCTGAGTCCACAGAATCCTAGACAGATGCTTGCCCCAAACATTTAAAGTGAACTCTACATTATCCTCTTTTTGCAGATGCTAAGGAGTGTTTTGAACTACTTTATAAAATACAATATGATGTAGTGACATGTCAGAACAGGTTGCATAATTTGGAACAGTCTAGAATGAAACCTTGGGTGACCCACCCAGTTCATAAGAAATGAGGTTTATAGACAGAATTGTTAACAGTATGAAAGCCTTATGTCAGAACTGAGACTGAGCAGAAGAAAAAACATTTATCAACAGGAACCAAGACAATTTAGATCCCATAACTATAGGGATGTGGCTTCTCTCAAATTTTACAGTCAGAGTGAGCATCACTAAAGAATCATTTTATGTTTCTATACTTCACCAGTATTTTGGTGCTGTCAATATTAGTTGACCAGTCATGGAATTCTCTGTAACTCCCTGTGCATCTTAACAAAGGGTAGTTCATGCTTGATCGCAGAGTCGAAGATTGCTTATTAAATGGTAATAATTTAATCCTGTAATAGTGCTTGGTGTCCCCCACTTCTGAGCTGCCTTTGATGAAAATAAATAAAGAACAGAGAAGTGTGTAAATCATTTTCTACTTTTCTCCCTTAAGCTCCCTTAGGCTGCCCTTTTCCTTGTTTTATCTACACCACAACCCAGCAATGGTGGTCAGGCCCAGAGACTGACTGTCCCAAGGTCACTTAATGAGCTTCATTGGAGCTGAAACCAGGATTTCTCAGGTCACAGGTGAACACCGTAAGCATTACACCATGCTGGTCCTCACTGTGCTACTGAACATAAGCCGTGCAGCTTCTCAAATGACATCTTACCAAATCCCCTAGAAAACCTGCGCAACCTCTAGAAGGTTATTGAACTTCCAGAATTTTATTTATCTGAGGCTATTGGTTGTGAATGTGGTGGATACTACAGTATGAAATGTCCTCTGAAGCTCGGTATGTTCAGGAGATGAAATATATCTCCTGCCTTATGGCAGTCATGGTAGGGTTTACCATTATGACAATGGTAAACCCTACAGTTATGAAATATCTTTCAAAGATCAGGATGAGAAGGACATGGAAGTGATTAATTAACACTGTAGTCCGAACACACTTTCAAGGAGTTAAGCACCATTAAAAGCACAGCAAGTATAGAGGTACTTATTTCTAATTAAGGACACACAGGATTATGATGGTAAATTCTATTCCTTATGTTCTACCCTGTTTTCCCAAAAATAAGACTTACCCTGAAAAGAAGTCCCAGTATAAGTACTACCCCAAAAATAAGCCTCAGTTAAGTGAAACCCCACCCTCCGCCACTGTGCAGCAACCAGAAGATGACATGACTGTTTTTGAATAAATGTAGATTTTTGTCCATGAAAAAAATAAAACATCCCCTGAAAATAAGCCCTGATGTGTTTTTTGGAGCAAAAATTAATATAAGACCCTGTCTTATTTTCAGGGAAACACGGTACAAGCAAGCTGACATGATGTTAGCCTTCTGAGGTCTACAGCAGATATACTGTAGTTTTCAGAAGTGCTGGGCTACACCATTGACTAACACCTCTTTTTATTCCCTTTCCAATTATCCTTTTTGCCACCTCCACTCCATTCATGATGCCAGTTGTCAGTGGGCAACTTTACTTGGAAATGAAAATCTGAATACTGTAGATATAGACTTTAATGTATTCAAATTATAGGAGTAAAAACTGGAACGAACAGAAAACTAAGATCTAAGAAGTGTTAAGGGAGATGTAGCCATACCAGCCTGACCTTTATAAAAGGTACGAACATAAAGAAACAAAAAGACTGTGGAGACAAACGTGGAGATATGCACATGGAGATGATTTTTTCTGCCCATTCAATTGTTTCTTTTGAAGTTGTTTGGCTTACAGCAGGTGTTCTCCACAAATGCTGCCTAGAGATACACAAATATTTGATCATGAATAATGATTTCTAAGTGGAGACAGAGCTCATTTTTGCATTCAACACCGTGCTTTATGGAGAAACCGTATTTTTTAAGAAACGAAAGCCCAGATTTCGGTGGAAAGGAAATAAAAAAGAAAGTGAGGGGAAATGACTCACACATCTGTGCAAACAGATCTCTGAACTACTCAGGATTTTAGCAACAGGTGTGGGCTTAAGCCCCATGTAGCGTTCCCATCCCACTTTTAAAACAAATATCTATTTGATAGTAAAATTTGACGGCAGTGCTGATTGTTAGGACTGCATTGATCCTGTTCTCCAGGAAGTGAGAAGTTTT